AGATAGGGATTGCCACCGGAGGCCATGGGTCAAGACGGAAGTCAGTGGCGGACGTGAATTCTTGCGTGTTGTAGTGGTTTATAACTAAATAAATAAATGGTATATTCTTGGCAAAACGAGACACACCTGTAAAGGCGTGATCAAATATGCATACAAGCATAGCTTCTTTGGAATGTTAAAAAAGTTCGTTTTAATGAACAGTATAAAAGAAAAGATGTAGTCCATATGAGTGAGCATATTGTCAGGTAATTGTCAGAACAAGGGACATTATGGCGCTGTGGCGCGAAAAAATCCTTCAAAACACAGGTTGGAGGTACTTTCGCCAGGTAGTGATCCATGAGCACAGGAGCCTAAACAAGGTTTTGTTGCAACCAAAAACCATTACGAGATAGGGATGGTCTGTGCTCAGGTTGGATATAGAAGGCCGAGGACTGCGTCAGTGTAAAACGCTTAGCTGTGGTTTTATTTTGTGGCGAGTCATATCCTCCACGTTACAGTGTTCTTAAGCGGATGTTTATGGCTTTTTATAAGGAGAAAGCTTGCCAGGTGAAAACCCACCACGACCTGGAGCACTGCCGTAGCTTCTGTTGAACAGTAGTGCAAGTCGGCTATGCATCGTATTGATCGACATTGTACTCTATTATTCGCAGTCGGTTGACAGCCAAACTTCTTCTTTGGTTGGCCGAATGGCTTAGTACTGATCCGGCAATAGTCGTTGAAGCCGGTCCATGATGCAAGATTCGAAGCGTCGAATGATAATGATGCAGGTGAGTAAACGCATTGTTAATAGAGGCCGAATTTTCTATTATATTCTTGTTCGGCTGGCAAACCGTGTCCAGCCACCCACGCTGGACTTGTCATCGGGTCGGTGAGTGAAGCTGTTACTTGTGGCTGAATATGTCCTTAATAGGTAAAAACGCCATTCTTCGCAAAGTGGATTCGGGATTCCGTCAAATGTAAGTAAGTGTAACTGTTTCCATAGCCAAGTGAAAATTCCATGGAAGGCCATCGGAAAAGTCACGTATATGTGCGCAAGGCTGTCCGCGAAATCACATCAGAATAGCTCCAGGTTACCGGCGAATAGGAATGTTTGAGGCAGTGAAGGTAATCACGCCAGAGTTGTTTGTCTTCGGTTGTGGAACGGGAAATCCGTGTAAATATTTTATTCCAGGTGAGTGAATTGTTCTCTCTGAGTACGAGGTGAGCTAAACCTATTTGTTTAGGCCCCGTTCCCTAATAAGACAAACAAAAAGCAACGTAAAAAAGCGGGTAGAAAAGAGGCAAAAAATCTCGCTTTCCAATCCCTACTGCTCGTTAGAACATCATCATGGCGCAATATCTGTAGCACTGATCGCACTCAATATACACATATACATCAACTGAGAGTTCGTTGCAGATTCCAAAGCAGATAGTCACCCATGTGTTTGGAGAAGCACTACATTGCGGCCTCAGTCGGTTGAGCATATCAGCAGTGCATAGCCATCGGATATTTTAGGATTAGAATCCATGCCTATTAGCAGCTTATAACACTAGGAAACAAGTCGACTGCGTGGAGAGTAAGACGCACCATTTCGCAGTCGGCTCATGAATCGTCCTTCGAGGCGCAGAGGCAGAAGCCGCTGAATGCCAGTTCTAAACCACTGTTTGTGATTGGATGGAGTCCTGAATGATCCGATGGATGCGCACTATCTAAAAAACAGAGCTCCATCGTAGTTAGTTGGTGCATGCGCGCGGGATGGCGTCACTGATTCCTGTGCGTTTATCGCCTCTTACAGCTAAGCCATGCGATTCAATTGTGATGCGCTCTCTGGATCTGAAATCCGCAAAGTGGGTCCAAGAATTTTTGAATTCTGACAACGATGTCGCCTTAAAAAGTTTTGCAAAAACAGTTTCAGTACTTCACCACTCGCCGCCTCATGTCCGACGCTCGCGAGTGCTGGTTGATGTGCGCACGTGAAGTGTTGGCCCAAGCATTCGTACGTGACCAAGATGCGATAGCACAGGGTCATAATGAGGTCAACCCTAAACTGACGACACGACAGTGTTCAGCCATAGTCCTCTGCATCGGAGTTCGTAGGACACACTTCACAAACTGGGGATGAACCTGGTAGCCGCATGCTGAACACCTCCCAGTTTTTGCACCAAGCAACCGGTGACTCTAACTTGCGATGAAAACGAAGCTGTGGTAAGCACTTTGGACCAAATACGAACGCTGCGCGGCCCGTTCCAATAGAGCCGGTTCTTAATGTCTGCGGACTTCAAGTCGTAGAGTGAGAATGCGCCGAAACCCTTTAGGAAGGAGTACATTGCAGCAGTTGGCCGGCTGGTGGGTGAGTATGCCTATTAATACCCTTCAAACATGGTTTGAATCGGGTGACCAGCAGCCCAACTGGACAGGAGATCGATTTCATGCTGCAGTAGCTCACGGTAGTCGGGATTAAGTACTCTCCAAATCTACAGAACTTCGCCAAACATGGCACAAGTGGACCGAAGAGGCTGCGGAAGTTTGTCGGTGTGGATGGTGAATGAAATGGGCCTTAGTACCCCATCGTTGAAGGGATAACAGTCCGTTAGATGGTTCAACAACACCGCACATTCACAGCATGTTGAAGACTTTATAGTCCACTTCAGACGGTTCAACCTTTGCAAGCATTCAAGCCGCGTCAAGTGCAGGAGCAGATACTGATGCCGAAGGGGTTGAAAACGCTCTCTAGTGGTTCTTCGGGCAAGTAGACGACTACCTGATTTGGAACACGCTGCGACGAGTTCCCAGTGGATTGCATCAAAATCCCATGCGCATAAGCATATGCCGAACAATAAGTGATAAGTACGTGCCTTTCGAGGAGTTCTCGAAGGCATTTGGTAGGGCTCCCCATTTGAGGTCTGCGTGAAAGCGGTCGCGTTCTCTACTAGGTGGCTGCGCTCTTGGTTAGTAGAGAGCAGTGGGTAGGTGCGACCCACAACCGTATTTAGGTAGTCTGGTTACAGTGACGGAACGTAAAGCAACCATTCGTGGAATGTTGTCGAGGTTCAGGAGGCTATTCGGTGTGCACTAGATGGACTTTCGGACAAGTCCACATTTTGGCTGCTATCTATAAAGCAGGCAAATTGCAACGTTTTTCGATTTGGAAGTTCCCCTTACGTATCCAAACAGTTTCATCTAGGCGTCGCACATTCGGTCGACACCTGAAAGACTGCGCGTAGAAGGGTTCCGTATGTTGTGGTCAATACACCGTGTCATCGGAATCTTGTATGATTGTCAGCTTTCGTTCGGCTCTGTATGACATACCGTGCCCAGGAGAAAGCGGTTGCGCTGAGAGATCACGGCGACAGCTTTAGCCAGAGCACTTAAACAGTTCTGGAATGCTTTACGAACTACTAAGATAACCTAATCCTAACCCACTGCACCTTAACCGGAAACGATGCCGCTTATGTGACATGTCTACCCAGTTCCGCCAGCTTGTCTGTTCTTTGCAGAAATCCTATGAAGCTGGACAAACCTCGGTCCCATGGACTCAGGGCGAAAATCCGGTTAGCACACCGAGTACTCGGGCGCTGCACAATACCACCGGAAAGTATCTGGGAATTTAAGGGTCTGAGCGTCAACTTGACGTTGCTGGGAGGCAACGTGAAACCTATCGTTTCTCATGATTACCATCCATTTTATTTCTTGTGATGCACTGGCATTACGTTCTTATTTCAAGTGAGGTTTCTAATACCCTCTTCGTATGCAATGTCTGCTTCAAGTGACTGAAACAGTAGGGACTGCTAGTACAGCGAATGTGGTGTAGTTGGTTACCTAGAGTGCGGCTAAGATATTATGTTTTAGCTCCGAGCACATCTTCTGGCTCAAGAAAGAACACGCACCAGATTCTTCCAGCGGTCAGTCACACCTGAGCTTGAACAACACACGAACCAAAAGGCAGGATCCGATCTGTAGTCCAAAGTAGCAAAATCCTCTCTAGTATTCGGTGTGCGGATTCAGAGCCGCATAGGGGCCCGGCAACTTGTCGGTATCTTTGGCTTGCAAGCGATTGGTGATCACGCAGCAGCAAAGCTCCGGTGCCGCGGGCCGGCGTATTGCTGATGGCTAGGTGACCGAAAACGAGCGTCCGTGTAATGCACTAAGCCGTAGAGCAAGATTCATCGCACATATGCTTAAATAGGAAACGAAGGCTACTCTACCTATGGAGGTGAGTATGTTGGTAGTCGCTGGAATTTGCTGTCATAACCTAGCAAAGCAAAAAGCAGACCGATTAGGACCAAATCTTCACTGCATTTAACCGTAGGGTATGGACAGTACCGAAGTTAAGTCTCCGCACAACCACTTCATGTCGCACGTGTGCTAATGATACTGCGAGGGACACATGGTCCCTGAAGGCCACCAGGCACTAAGTAAACCACTGTGCATTTCCATCAGAAAGGGCCGCTTAGACGGTCTACTACGTACGTTCAATTGGCTAAAAGTAGCGTATTATTACTTAAGCAACAGGCGTCCCGAGCAAGAATATCAAGGGGCACTGCTGCACAACACCAAACAGTTGGTGGAATGGGACAGTAAACAGCAACTTGGTTAGCAAGTTGTACCTGAGATGGACATTCAATGACAACCTTAATCTGGCGAAAAAAACAGAGATTGACAAGAAGTAGAAACCCTCAGTTAAGTTCGACCACTTAGTCTCGAATTATTCCAAGTGCTAGCCGAATAGACAAAAGTTTGTTGCTGATAGTGGGTGTCCTATGGATACTACACTCAACGGACTACGACCGGCGTTCGCAGATCAACAGTGTCATGGCCACATGGCATACTATAAAAATATCTCAACCCGACGGACAGCGATTACCAATAATGTACAAAGCACAGAATACAGCAATGGGAGGGCCATAGCATACACAGAGTGCCATTACCCGACGCAAAGGACACAAGCTAAGGCTAAGAAGATTAATATGGATTGACAACACGGGGCTCATAAAATGAATGCGAGAAAAATGCGAATCCGTTAGTCTTCTGATTCACGCCCGGTTTCATCCCTTTCGTCGTCACTTCTCCTACTGCTGTCTATTTCTTCTTCGTCCGATTGATGTCTTTCAGCGGATACGCTTCTTCGAGATCCAGAGCGGGAGCGGCTGACAGAACGTGACCGGTCAGGGCTGCGTGAATCAGCGGACCGAGACTGGCTTCTTGAGCGCGAAGCTGACGCCGAACGCGAACGAGTCCTTGAGCGAGACCTTATTTCCGGTTCGTTCTTAATGCTGCCATCAGTTCCGTTACGACTTGGGGAGCGGGACTCGGCCCCCTAAGTAATTTATTTAAAGAGGCAAACGGACTTACCGGTGAATTTTTCTCAGTGTGGTGCGAAGCGGAGCGTTTGCGGGAATGATGAGACTCAGAACGGTGCGATGGACTGCGAGACCTATGCTCCACTGACAATTCCTTTGATCTTCTTGATGAATCACGACCGTCCCGAGAAACGGAGCGACGCCTTTTACTTGAGACTGATCGTTCTCGTCGTCTACGTGGGGAATGTGCTTTCGGGCGACGGTACGATTCGCGACTTCTAGAGCGAGCAGCACGCTTTCTTCCGATGCTATCAGAGCGTGAGCGACCTCGGGAACCGGACCTTGAGTGTCGATTGGGACGATCCTCGTAAACACGCAATCGACGGCCGTAAAGCTCGTATCCATCAAACTTTTCAATGGCTTCCTTCATGTCAGCATATGATGAGAACTCAACTATGCTGTGAAAGGTATATGATGAAAGACAGAAACTTACCCATCGTTACGCGCGGATTTATGTGCATCCGCATAAGTGATATCACCGGCTTTCCTCATCATGTCTTTCAAGTCCTGCAAGCAAGACTCAAATTACGACGTGAAGTTTCTAAGAGCAACATAAATCCTAAACGCATCACTTGCTCCTACACCTTAACAGCTCGCGAGTAATTTACTTCGCGTTTGGGACTGGCCAAGACCTCGAACCCCGTTAGCGACCTGGGCCGAGCGACCGTTGCACGGCGCGACCAAAACGACCCTCAAGCGACCACGAAATGGAACTCGACCACTCAAACGCGTCCTAGTCCAACCGAAACCAACGAACGTTCGGTCACTGAATACGAGATAACAACAGATTAGTCTATTGCTTCCAAAAATCGAAAAAAGGGAATCGATCAATCTTACGTGCCAGCTAACGCGCGAAGATAGGTGCTCGATGACAACCCTGTATTCAGTTCGTGTCGGTGGACCGTAGCGACTAATAGGATTTTTCAACAAAAATAGAATGAGCTTACCGGTCGCGGCCGCCAGTCCGCCTGCTACCTCCTCGGGATCCAGGCGGAAGACGTGCATGTTCAACTATGATGCGTTCCCCCCTCAACTCACGACCATGGAGGTCATACACGGCATCGTCAGCATCCTTTTCGTCATCGAATTCCACGAATCCATAACCGTTTTTTAAAACAACGTCTCTGAGTCGTCCGTACCCTTTAAAAAAGTCTTCAATATCGCGTTCTCGGCAGCGAGCAGGAAGGTGTCCGAGGTAAACGCGAGACATCTTGAAGCGAGACGGAAAACGAAACAGATCCAACTGTTTGGGCTTAAAGCATTTAAACAACGACGGACCAGTTACTTTAATCACCAAATAACGTAGTTGCAAAATTCTTTGGATAAAGGTTAACGCGTATTTCAAATCCTAAATAAAACGTGAGATTAGTTTTTTGTTTCCTTTTTCATGACGGTACATTGAAAATATAATGTGTGATCTATTAGGTTTTCCTCTGAAAGAGCAATTACAGAAGTGTTTGTATGTATGGTGGATAAATATTGTTATATATTGGTATCTGTAAACCCTTTTTGGTCAGTCGACTTCTGTGCCGAAGAAACAGTTTCAGTGTGCGTATTGCCTTCGCTTGGAACACCCTCCCTGAAGGTGTTGTCTCAGCGCCCAATACGGAGGCCTTCAAACAGCGCCTAGACGCTTGGCTCTTACCTCGCTGGTCATCCACGTTGCTAAAATCTGGCCATTTGCCAAGCTAACACGCGGCGCTTCTATCATTTTGCTTCTATCCAACTTTGCCGAATTTACCTACACCACTCTCTTGTTCCAGGTATCCACGTTCCCACAGTCAACTCGCTGAATACTTGTGCTGAACACCACTACTGCGTCGAGACCCACAACATCTGGCACCTACCGACGAGATCAGGACCTTGCCGTAAGATCTCGAGGCAGAACCACCGAAAAGCTACGCTTACTCGTTCTGCGCAAACCCGTGAAACCCGTGAAACCCATGAACAGTTTGATCCGGCGACTGGAACACACAAGTCCACAACACATCGAGTTTACAACTCACATAAAGAGCGACGCCCCCACCTTGGCGGCCAACGGAGCGATCGCATCTAAGCAGTGCGTAGCCAGGCAAACATACTTCACCGTCTGTGATATCCGGGGACAGCCACGTTTCGGTGATAGCAAGTATGTCGGGACGAGATTTGTCTACAAGTAGACCCACCTCGTGTACCTTGTTCCTTAGGTTACGCATATTACTAAGCACTAACCGAAGGAACTCGGCACGAACAGCCCTGGGTCGTACACTAACAGGAGAGGTTCTGGTAGAGCAGAATTTGTCTTGGGCTGACCACCTGCAAACCCACAAGACGAAGGTCATGTTCATCAGCCGCCCGCCTGCTTTTGAGGCTATTGAGGGCTTCCTTTAACTTCAGTCGACCTGCCAGTGGGAGGTCCGGCTAAACGCTAACATTACTACCCTTGAGTTTGGATGCAACTCGCATTAACGCTTTGCGTTCCTCTGGGGTTGAGAGGACTAAACGAAGTAGTCGGGGTCGCGGATTTGGCGTGTCTACAGGGACGTTGCCCAATCTAGTTAATTTTCTGATAGTGACAACGGGGAAACCAGGTGAAAGCGTCTCTTTGACGCAGAACTTGAACCACTGGAGGTCATCCAGCATGCGCTCCTTTGGAAGAGCTGCCGCGCATTCAGCAACGTTACGAAAGATAACGCCACCATCAGTAAAAGTATCACCTCGACGAGGCGTATTCACTCCACGCGTCTTCGACGCCACCTCAGTTTCGACCGGTTTGGCAGATGACACGGCGCGTTTCTTCGCGAAGTGAGCTGGAGTAATTGAGGTTGAGGTTTTATCCTCTGCCTCCAACTCGCTCACCGGTCTAGTCTTTTCAGACTTTGCGAGTGTGGCCGAAGTCGACACCGCGGGCTGTTTCGCCAATGGAACTGGGGTGATTGGAGTTGGAGTTTTGTGTTCCACCTCCAATACCTTAATGCTTTCAATACCTTCAGGCTTTGAAACAGTCTTCGGGACTTTCTTAGCCCTCTTCCTCCTGCTTTCATTGGGTCCAGGGGCAATAAGTTCGGTCACGCTTTGGACGGCTTCCAGTACGACATCAGAGGCCCCTTTTGAGGCATTCTGGACCGCTGGAACACACGACACGGTAGACGTCACCTCAGTCGGATTTCCATCGACAGCAATTGAGGTTAGTTGCTTGTCTTCCTTCAATGAGCCGACATCAATAGAGACTCCCGTATTTCTCATCAGTAACTCCACTTTCCGATCAAGAGATATGAGGAAAGACCACAACTGCTGGTTACCCAGCCCGATGTTGCTCGATGTCTCCTCAGTGACCTCAAGAGGCGTAGATCGACGGCGACGGCATAGAAGACAATTGAACAGCATGCTATTGCTAGTCGAAAGCATCGCGTACTGATCAGGGCTCAAATCGGTGCAGGTCTCATTGTACCAGCAGTTGCATGCATAGCACTGCATGCCACCAGACTCGTCCGTCACGGGATTTGAGCAGCTCCCGCTGCCACATACAGCATTAGATTCGCTGATCAATGCAACTGAAGACACATCAGCGTTGCTATTCAGTGAATCCGACATGACGCTTTCAAAGAGTGTGAAACAAGTATCAAAACGTAAACCCGACAAGCTGTTACCTGCAGGGCAGTCAACAGAAACAGTTATGGGTTAAACAAGGTGCAAAACGGATTACAAAACACAAAATACCGGAAAAATAGCCAGTGGCTGAACCCGAAAAAGATGGACGACATTGGTAAGTACCCGAAAACGGGTACGACGTAATCCGGGGTAAACGATGATCCAAAATTCTTTGGATCAAGCGAAAGTTGACAAAAGTCAAATTTTTTGCACGACACTTGTAAACACTGTTCCGGAACTGTCCTTTGAAAGTAAAACCTCAAAAGGTTCTCAATGGTATAAGTAACGGCCTCATGACTCTCGTCTCCGCCCGATTCATTATATGCATGCATAATCCCGGGAGTCGCTATATGTTCTTGCTACTGTGACTCTCATTCCTAAGCCTTTTGGACTAGTCCCGAATCTCAGGCTCCAAATGCCTATAGGTCTCAAGCCAAGGCCTCTCTTCCTCTGAGGATCGGCTGCCATCGATTAAGATTCTCAATGGTATAAGTAACGGCTTCATGATTCTCGTCTCCTTCCGATTCCTTCTTCTCAGCTCACAAGTATCGTCTCCCTCTCTTGTTTGGCCTCTCTTTTGGTCCATATCGCATCGGTTCAGTGACGGTACAGGTACCTCTAACGCCAGCGCAATTTACTAGCCCCCGTTTGATTCTCTTTGCTACTGTGACACTCATTATTAAACCTACTGGACTTGTCCGGCCTCTCAGGCTCCTAATACCCGTCGGTCTCGAAACATGGCCTCTCGCATTCCAGCATCGGCTGCCGTCGGCAAATGTTCTCATTTGTATAATTAACTGCCTCATTTACTCTCCTCCGTCTGGTACATTACCTGCATGCTTTGCCCTTCTACCGAAATTGAAATTTCAGGTCCCTGGCTGAGTTTTGCCTCTCGGCTTCACTCTCATGCTTCTCAGCTCACAATTACGTCCCCTCTCTTGTTTGGCCCCTTCTCTGGTCCATATCGCGTCCGTTCAATGGTGGTTTAGGTTCCCATAGTGTCAGCTCAACCTACTAGGCCACGCACTCTTAAACCTCCTGGACCGCACCGGCCACCGGCTCCAAATGCCTATGGGTCTCAAACCAAGGCTTCTCTTCCTTTGAGCATCGATTAAAGCTCTCATTGGCATAAGAAACAGCCTCATGATACTGGCCTCCGCCTGGCTCATTACCTGTATGCTTGGTCCCATGCAAAGATGCAATTTCAGGTCTCTGATTGACTTTTGCCTCGCGGCTCCACCATCATGAATCTCAGCTCACAATTACGTTCCCCTCTCTTGTTTGGCCTCTCTTTTGGTCTATATCGCAACAGTTCAATGGCGGTATAGTTATCGCTAGCGTCAGCGCAACATCCCAGTTCTCTTTTGGTTACCTTTCTTTCTGTGCGTCTCAATCCAAAAAATGTTGGCCAAGTCAGACCTCTGAGGCGCCAAATGCCTATAGGTTTCAAGCCAAGGCCTCTCTTATTTTGAGCACCGGCTGCCATCGAATCATATTCTCATTGGTATAAGTTACAACCTTAAGATACTCTCCTTTGTCTTAATCATTATCTGTATGCTTGGTAACGCCTACCGAAATCCGAATTTCCGGTCCTTGATTGAGTTTGGCTCTCGGCTCCACTTTCATGTATCGCAGCTCACGTTAACGTCTTCCTCTCATATTTGGCGTCTCTCTTCGTTCATTTCGCAACTATTCATTGGCGGTATAGGTACCACTAGCCTCAGCTCATCGGTCACTCCATTGCTTTCAGCCAGCACAACTTTACCATAAATGTTATATTTATACAATAACATAGTCCTGTTCAATTTTCTTGGCAGCTTGCTCGGTTCGTTTTTCTTCTCACCCTTGTCCTACAGGATAACATTACCCGCACCGAACACCGCTGAAGACGTACCTGCGACGCTCCCGTGGGCACGGATTCAATAAAGAACAAAGAAAAAACCCGCACTTCATAATCATGACCCACTAAAGAACCTAGGAAACTGCTCAATTCAATACAAGTCACCTGAGTCGTCCGACTTCAACCGCTCCGACCACTTGCACTGGACTCTGAAGGCGACTACACAGCCATAGCAAACAAATTGGCGTTACGTGACTGCGAATATCCGCGAGGGTAATCGGCCAGATACAATCTTGTCAATGTTATATCAACAGCCGGCAGTGTTCCAGGACGTGGTGGGTTTTCGCCTGGCAAGCGTTTTCCCTACAAAAAGCCACAAATGTCTGTTTAACAACACTGCGACGTGGCGGATGTGACTCGCCACTCAATAAAGTCACCGCCCCTAACATTGGCAAGTTGTCCGACACCATATTTACAAGTTCTGTGTATATATCGGCTCTCGCATGAACACGCCTACAAATCTGCTTAGTGACATACCACTATTCTTAAGTATTTTTCACCCGTTTCCTCATACTTCACTCACTGACTTACATTGCTTACGGGACCTCATCGGACTAGTTCCTCATCAACATACCATATAAGTGATCCGATTACTATCTTTACCTCTCGCATTCTGTGTACATAGACTACATGCAACATTTGGGCTCTATGGGCCCACACTACTGTTTCCAATTGTACTA